GGCACAGCCACCGGGTCGCACTGCTTCCAGAGGCGGCCCTCGTGGAAGGTGAACCTCTGCAGGACGATGACCAGCACGCGGGGCAGGCTCCGCAGGCAGAGTGTCTGCACAGTCAGCACAGTGCTTGTCAGCACGGCCCCGCCACTATGGACGCCTGCCGCCCCGGGTCCCCAGCCCCACTGCCTCCGGGGCCAGGCTCCCTCAGAGGCCTGCAGCCCCAACCCAGTGCTGTCGGTCTGCCCGGCAGGGTCCCCACTGCTGCCTCTCTCCTGGGCTGGGGTGTAAAGTAGGATCACCAGCCCTGAGTACAGAAGAGGGTGCAGGGCCGGTCCCCAGGGCTGGCTTCTTCCAGGGACATCTACAGGAACACCAGCCCCCGGAACAGTCACCATGAACAAGCAAAATGACAGGGGCCTCCCAGGACCCTCCCCCGGCCCCAAATTCCTGAGGTCGCAGGAGCTGCTTTCCAACCTGACACTGGCTGTGGGGTCCTTGTGTCCCTACTGGGGGGACCCTAGTCTCTGTCTGTGGCCAGCGGCGGGTCTACAGACCTGTTTGATCAAGGTGTTCAGGGTGCTGAGGCCCCTGCCTGAGGCATGAGGGTACCGGGGGCTAGTACCCCTCCTTCCCAGCCCCCACCCCCGCCCAAGCTCAGGAAGCCATAGGGCCAGGCTAAGCAAGGACCCAGGAGCCACTGGCAGCTGCTGCCCCTTTAGAGCGGACACCCAGGAATGAGGACCTGGGCTGAGCCTGAGCTGCCCTAGGGTAGGGCTCCACAAGCTCCCAGGAGGGCCTGCGTAGGCGATGACTGCTCCCCCTGGGGTCCGGGTCAGACACTGCAGGCACACAGGTGCCCCTGCACTTAGCTGTGAGTCTGACCTGCGGGGTCCACGGGTGCCCTGCTCTGACTGTGGCTGGCTGCACTCACCAAGCAGGCGTCCTCTTTGTGGTCACACTTGTCCCCAGTGAACCACTCCTTCTGGAACAGCCCCTCCACAGCCTTGTCCTGGGGACCAGAGGGCAACTCCAATACGGGGAGGGGACCCAAGGCGCCCTTGGGCAGAAGCCAAAGGCCCAGCTGAGGCTGCTCAGGGGGTGCCATCGCGGGGCGTGACTCCTCACGTGACGTCTGCCTGTGGCAGCAGAGACACCAGGCTGGGACGCCTGGGAGAAGCATTGTCCCCGGAAGTGAGGTGTGTGAGGTCAGGCCGGACCGGTGGGGTGCCCTTGATAGGGAGCACGGGGTGCCTGCGGGGCCCTGTGGGACAGGCACCAGAAAGACCAGCCAGGCTCCCTCCAGCCCAGTCTTGGTCTCACAGCGCTGGCACTGGGTGACTCCCATCAGGGTCATCTGGAACAGCTGCAAGGAAGCATCCACGGAGTCAGGGCAGCAGGACACTTTGGCCACACTGTGCGCCCAGGGCCCCAGGAAGGGCCACTGTCCCCACATTCCTGAGGGTTTTCGGGTGCTCACCCAACCCTAGGCCCTGCCCACAGGGCTGCCCACCCCCAAGCTCTGAGCCTGCAGCCCCAGCAGACATCCCGTGGGAACAGGGCACGGGAGACCAGATCAGAGGGTCTCTGTGTCCTGGCCCCCATCGCTGTGACAGCAGCTCACTCATCCCTCCTCCAAGTGCCCCCATGAGGCCCTTGCCCACATCTGAAAGGGAACTCCTCAACTGGCCTTAAGCAATGTCCCCTGCCCACCTGGGGGCTGGACTCTGAGCTTCCTGTCCTTTCTGTCTCTCCCCCAGGGCTTCCCCCGGGGCCTGCCTCCCAGCTCCCTGTCCAGGTAGGGCCACTGGCTATGTCCTAGGAGTCACTGGGCCAGCTGGTGGTCTCCCAAACCCTTTTTGTGCCTACTGTCCTGGGGAAACTGGATCCCCCTCTGCCCAGAGCCCCCAGTGTTGCTGCAGCCCCCCTTCACGCCTGTCATCTGATCTGTTCCAGACTGCTGCCCCCACCATGCCACCAACAGGTGAGATCACCACCTACCCCCCTCATAGGGGGGTCCACTGAAGCTCCCTGCCCCACAGAGGGTCCTTTCTGCATGTCTGTCCTCCAGGAAGGGACCCAGCGACCTCATCCTGTTTCTCAGCTGGAAAATCAGGGGTCCTGGCCGCTAATGGCTGTGGGGGGAGGGTCGGGAGCCCCTGCAGCCCACCCCACTCCCAGGTCCCTCACCTGCCCCAGCTCCCTCTGCTCAGCAGTCATCCTGGTCAACAGCATGCGGAAGCACAGCAGGGCATCCTCCTGGCGGTGCACTGTGCATCGGGGACAGGGACAGGACAGGGTCCTGGCTGAGACCCTACCCAGCCCACTGCCCCCTATTCTCTGCCTGTCCACTGCCCCAGTCTCCCCAGGGTGGCCTCCCCAGTGAGGCACAGGTGTGAATGCCGGACCCAGACAGGCGGTGCTGGAGCTAGTGGTGAGGAGGGCAGCCCGGGCAGGGACCAGGGGCTGTGGGGAGCAGCCTCAGCTCTGGGGTGTCTGTCCTGCCCAGTCAGCTCTCACCATCCCTGAGCTCGAGGCAGCGGGTGATGGCGGTGGTGGACACAGGTGCCTCGGACTCCTCCAGGGCCTCAAAGAGCCAGCACAGCTGTGTGATGAGGCTGGACTCCCCCTGGTCCTCGCATCTGCAGGGGCCCGAGAGAGAAAGGAAGGCCAGGCTTGGCTGAGAGCCCCTGCAGGGCGGCCACCAGCCAGGCCTGT